AATTCATTGAGAACCTATAGTCAGCCCACAGTTGACCCATACTCTGGGTTGCCATTATGTACAAACCAGGTCAATGGAGAAGCATCAGACTTTGCATCAGAGTCTGCTTCGTCATCAAAAGATGAATGCCAGGTGTGCATGGAAGAAGTGTTGGTTGTGTATTGCCTGTAATGGACCAGTTGTTGGTCCATGACTAACTTCCACCCACTGAAAAAAATAAATAATACTCTGGACACAAAGAGTATTTGTGTCCTCTTTATTTCTGAAAACATCTGCATTGATTATAATGGTCCCTTTGAAAAATCAGATTGAAAGTGGCAAAAGATATTTTGACATTGCTGACTCAGCTTGCCAGCTACCAACTGAGAAATGCACATGATGTCTTTCAAATCCATTCCCTTCCTACTTTCAGGAATGAGTGAGACTCTGGAATGTGCCCGCGCTGCCATGGCAGGAGGAGGCATTGAAAACAACCTGAGAAAGGTGGGTACACCTTAAAAGAATCATCTCCTCCATCAATCATTTTAAAGGCCTCACCAGGACTTTCCAATCACAATCAAATCAGGCTGATTTTTCTAGCCATTTGTAATTTAGGCTATTACTCTCTACACAGCAGAAGTCTAGTTTTCTTGTTTCAAAAGATTCATTTCTAGTTGTTGAGATTTTTAAATAAAATGATTGCCCTAACTGAACTAAACTTCTTCATTTTAGGTTTATTTCTTTTCTTTTTTCCAGAGATTGGAGTCCTCAAATTTTTGGGCTGGGGGACACTTTTGGAACTTTGACAGCGTATTCAGCCTCTGTGGAACTTGCCTGTTCAAAATATGGCTGCAGCAGGAGGTGTGACCAACAACAAAACAACAAAACTCCTATTCCCAGAAGATGAACTGGTGAGATTCAAAGAAAAGTAACTTGCCCAAATAACCTAAGGACAAAGCAGAGTGCAAAACCACTCCTGAAAACCTCCAATTTTCTGCTCCAGCACACATTTCCTGAAAGTCAAACTTTATGTGGCTCAGGGACAAGAAACTTGAATATATCGCAGAGGTAGTGGCTGAAATATTTGCCCCCAAAAAGCAGGGAAAAAATTACTCATTTTACAGAAAGCAATTAATGCTGTTTAGAGAGGCACACCACACACACTTCCAGAAGTATTCCTGAAAAATTCAGAGGATTGTGCCAGAATCCTGGTTAATTATCACAATTTGTGTGACCAGAATGCTGGGAAGTTGTCTGCTGTACACCTACCATTACCCTGAGGAAACTTTGGCATTGCAGGAACATAACCAGAATGTGAAAAGGAGGGTGGACTGCTCTGAAAAAGGGGGCCCATGGCAAATAAGCAGCAAGGTGTATATTTGCAGGAGGTTCAGCTCTTTTGCACGGCTCAGTTCCACAAACAGACCAGGTTGTGTAAGCAGTACCTGTCCTCCCCATGGTAGGCTATATCCTTTCTTCGTAGGCTGCCTCAGGCTGTGCTGCTGTCGCAGGAGAATCTCTTTGGCTTGCCTCTCGCTTGGATCTGTACTAAGGTTGTACCTGTTGTACGATAGTGTCTGAAACAGGAAGAGCATCAGCTGAGATCTTTCTCAGGATAAACTCCCAAACAGTACACAGAACATCCTAACCGCTTTGTAATCAGATGTGTTGACATTGTATCTTGATCCCAAAAGGATAAAATGAATTATGTACATATATGCATGTTCCAGAGGTTAAAAGATCTTTCCTTGTGTGTGGATTTTTGTGTAGCTCCAATCTGTACCATCAACATACAGGAGGGAGGCATTAGCAGCCTTATACCCACCCAAAGTGGCGGGAACCCAAAACAGCCAAATTGAAGCAGTCAACGACCATAGAAACCTGGTTGAGGGGAGTGGAAAGCCAAGCAAGCAGGAGATGGACTGAAGCATTCTGAAAGAGGGCATAGGCTGACTGGAACCCTGAACAGGAAAAGTATTGCAGGTCAGGCATGTATGTTTTCTATAAGGCATTGGGAATGTAAGCATTCGCCAGTCATTATGTACATGAACTGTTCTACTCAAATTTCGATGAGTTTCCTACACAAGGCAATTGATCCAATTTATTTATTTCTTTTCAGTTTTGTCACAAAATTGAGATCTGAGCACTACCATTCCTGCTGGAAAAAATCCTTTCTTGTTTTCCTACTACATAATATCTATGTAGTACCATAAACTACATTGTGTACCATATGTAGTACCATAAACTCTATGGTATAGTGGAATAGTGCAGTTACAGAACAAGAAAATGTATTTTCTTGTGGATTCACAAGTAGTACTACATTTTCTCTGCTATTAAAAATCTAAGAATCATGATGACTGCCAAATTCTCTCTCTCTCTCTCTCTCTCTCTCTCTCTCTCTCTCTCTCTCTCTCTCTCACACACACACACACACACACAAACCCCACACCCCACACAGTTCCATCTCTCCCAATAAAGTTTGATTTTATCTGTTTGTTTGTTAACCTTCATTTTCCCTGAACCGTCTCAGAAATGCTTGTTAAGGCAGAGATTGCTAATGTAATTTTATAACTACCATTCAAATAAGTCGTATTTATACCTCTGTTGTTAAGTTAGCAGTAGTAAAAACAGTACAGAGGATCCATCACATTTCTGTCTAAAGAAATGCTGAGGAATGCATTTAAGCCCACTTCATCAGATATGGCAAGACACCTGGGAGCTTTTGTGGAGAAAAATATGATTATGAAATATGAAATAGGGGACCTCAGGCTTCTGAAGTTCAGTGGCTTCTCCAGCTTACAGGGAAAAGAAGAGCAGTACTAATCCATATGTGAGGAGGCAGTGATAGAGTTTGCTGGCCTGTTTATCAGGATTGGGCCATTTTCCCACCAGGGCTTTTGACAGGTCAGTTCACAGATATGGCCGGGGTTAGATGTCTGGGTCATGGAATGGCAATGGATGTTTTTGTAGTTTCTGGGAATAACACCTTTTAATCTAAGCAGGGATGAAGCAGGTGCTTTCCAATTCCTCGTGCATTTATGCTTGCTACAGCTATCAGAAAAATGAGTTTCTATATGCCTAAAACAAGGTCATGAAAGTGAAACTAAGTGTACGCAATCCTATCTGGATGCTTTACAACAACCAAAGACAACAGAGAACTTTGTGGGACCTTAAAGACTGATGTATTAGTATTTCATAAGCTTTCACGGATTACAGTGTAGTCCACAAAATCTTATTCCATAATACTTTTCTTACAAAATATTTTGGTGCCTGAGACCGAAAAGCAAATGGCGCCACCTCTGGCTCATCACAAGACAAGGTGCTTAGTACCCAAGGCGACTACTTGCTGCCATTTCATGGCATCCCACCATGATTTATCCAAGACACATGCAACTCCCTTCCACCACTCTGATTTCACTTTCCCCACTTCTGTTGCTGTTGCAATCTTTGTCCTACCCTTTTCATCACCACTAACCTAAACAGCAAGAAGTTAGACAACTGGGAGACTTCCAGGACCAGTTTATGTCACCGTGAGGTGAATGTAGAAGATGCAACTGGGAGAGGAGCAGGAGGCGGGAGAAATTGCACTTTTTAAAATTGTAAAATGTTCCCACAGGTTCCTAAAGGTTGCCTGTTCCCAGACTAAAAATGCATATTGAGTTCTTCAGAAGCTGAAAATATCCTAAAGGCTTTTAAGCTAGGAAGGCCTGCCACCTAGTGCCATTCCCTGAAGCTCTCCTCCTGCCCTTCGTCACAAACAGAAGTGACTCATCCGGAAGGAAAAGGTGAGTTGTCTTTTTGTTTTGAGCTACTGGGAACAGGCACAGCAAGGACAGATTTCAAGTTTTGGAAATTGTGATCACAGTAAAGCACAGCCGCCAGACAAACACACGCATTGCCTACACCTTTTTCCATCATGTGGCTCAGTGGCAACAGCCGGCATTGACATTTCTGTTATCGCTCTCCGGTGCTAAGTTCCGAAGAGCACAAATACAAGCTCTTGTTAAGGAACTCTAAAGCATGTTACTGGTGGGAAAAACACACACCCTTTGTCTCACTTGATACAGATTGTGTTCAAGTATGTTCTGTATAGACTCCACCTCTTCGGGGCCAAGTCTCCGTGTTCTTTGGTTTCTATACCTCCTGCAAACAGAAAGGAAGGCAAACATTACACTAAGTCAAAGGTCCAACTGTTCTTTCCTATAGTCTCTTGGCCCTGTGTGCTGTACAGTGTGCATCTAGGATCGCTTGCTAATAAGGGACAGTAAGGATTCCTCCATAAAAGCAAAGGGGCCCAGAATCTGTGTGCCTCTGCAGGAATGAGTCTATGTTCACCTATTTTACTGCCAGTACAAAAAAAAGCAATGTTAAACAATGATTTAAAAATAAACATCTCTCACAAAGAAAACTTGTTTGTTCTTGCACCATTTTAGAAGTGATAGCAGTAGCATTTTTCTTTTTTATTTTATTTAGCAAGTTTAATTTTTAACCCAACCGAGCAGTTCAGTAGGGTGTAGAGAGCAGCAAAAGGCTGAAAGTGTTATTCAGTACATTCAGTGGGTTTTTAATGTCTATGACTATACAGTACTATGCTTAAACTCCTGTGTAGCTGTGTAACCTTGGCCATTAAAGGTCAATCCAAATGAAATGTTGTACAGTTCCTTCTCGATCAGGTTCTATTTCAGATTGTTGAGTATCTCCAGAAAAAGTGTGCTCTACTATTGTGGGCTAGCCATTGTTGTGCCTAACGGCTTGGCAGAGGCGCTGGCACACGAGAGAGGGCCAGAAGCTCCCAGTGAGAGTCGGGCATTGGAACAGGGAGATTTATACTTGCTGCCCATGGCTCAAACGGCCCCCCTGCCGCCCGACTCTGAGGCTTCCAAGCGAGTAGTTTCCCCACATCCTGGCTCTGAGTTTTTTGAGCAGGGTGCCGCTTCCCTTCCTCTTGACTCTGAGGTTTTTGAGCAAGTTGCTCCCCCGCCTCCTGACTCTGTTGGGCTGCTTCAGAGCCCCAGTGCTGGAGAACGGGAAGACATCGCGGGTGATTTAGGGGAAACCCAGCTCAGTAGGAAGTTGTGTCGCTTAGACCAATTGGGACAACGAGAGAGAAGTTTGTCCCACCCACGTGCAGAAAGACGTGAGACTGAAATCCACGTGACCTTTCCTATAGGGTTCAGAAAGGAGGGGGCAACTGAGCTGCGAGGAGCTCATTGCCAGAGCTTATCTGTTGCATCGTAAATCTTGTAGCAAATAGCAATAAAAGTCTTTAGTTTTATTGCCGGCTGCTGTGTGAGTTAATTGGAGGCGTGAGTTACAGCCTTACGACACCATCAAGAACCTTCCATTTCATCCTATTTTTAAGATAGTGTTACCAGGTGATGGCAAATGATCGCACTAATCATGTTACAACATGGATGTGCAGAAGCGGTCTCTACATGTCCCATATTATCATAGTACTTCAGCGGCATGGCGGCTGCCTCCCCAAAGTAAGATCCCATATTCTTGTAGAGACCAACTATTTAAGATGCCCCCGAATAGATGTCTTTGAGGTGTTCTGGATGACAACTCCCATTATTCTATTGGTTTTGATGGGCTGGGGAGGATGGAAATTATAATCAACACATCTCAAGAGCACTATACTGAGGAAGATTGATCTATGTAATGGAGATTGCATGCCTTTGTATAGTGTAACCATGTGTATTGTAAGCACATTTCTGTTGTGCTGTCTTGTATTTTCCGAGCACACTGTTCATGCAATTGCTATCTACTTCCATGCATCACTATGTGGAGAGTCCAACCAACATGTGGAGGCCATTGGCATGAAAAGAGTGGTGCTATCTTTGCAGTGGAATGCCTGCCATATCTCCTAGTACAATGACTGTTTTCACAGGGTTTGATTTCTCAGTGATCCGTAGCACCTTTTCCAAACTACAGTAACTCCACCCCAGCACCCCCCTGCTACAAATGGAAAATGCGGTAGAAAAGTCTATGGACTGATTTGCACAACCATTTTTCATGGCACAGCAATCTATATTTCTATCCACTGAAACACAGCTTTGTGTCTGTGAAGTTTCTTATTTGCTTAACCTGTATCTCACCTTTCTTTCATCACAAGGGACTCAGGTGGTGTACAGAGTCCCCATGCAGTCGCTCACCCATGAAGACCTACTTCACTTCAGTAGGATGACTGCCTCATGTGCTTTCAAACCATGCTCTAACCATCCCCAAGCCTTAGCCATTTCTAAATGTGTCTTCAGCTACGAGGTAGTGACCTCAACTGATGTCACTTGCAGGGACATGCCACAGTACTAATGCTAAACACATTACTGTACCAAATCTGCCACAGGGCACAATTCCTGCACAGCACTGCTTTTACACCGAGAACAGTTCTAAGCATGCTTAGATACATATACTTGACGAACAGCCTGAACTTGGTCATAGCAGAGCCATCAACCAGCAGTTGCTGAAGGCACTTTTTCTAGGTTCCATGATCACAAGCCTTACTTGGGGATACAGGAGGGCTGAGCCATTCGACAGTGCCACTGTGTCCTGGGTTCAGTCAGGATGGCTCACATGTAGAAGAATCATTCTTCTACAAACTGCCAGCTAATATAGTTCCCTGGATGTCTCTATTAAAATACTCTTGGTTTCAGGTGAACAATGAGCAACTCCACAAACAGCATGAAGGCAATTTGTGATTCAGTGAAAACACAAAGAAAGACAGGGAAACTCTTTTCACCAAGTTAGCTATTAACCAAGCAACTTGATAACTGTGAGTATATCCATTGAAGGGAAAAGTAACATGGTTTCTGTATAATAAACCCACTCCTTTTACGTTCATGCTTCAGTGCTACACAACTTATGATACTAATCTGTTTCCAAGTAAAACATGTTAATGACCCAATAAAGTTGTTTTCCTTTTTTTTAAATTGACAGCCTTTCCTTGGTCATTATACTCTGCATTTCAGTACTAGGACAGGTGTTACCAAACCTTCCCTGGTTCCTTTAAAAGTGCATAATAACATAATTCTAACAATTTAATCCTACTAAGATTATGGTAAACTACTCTTACATGATACCATATATATGTATTTAATACTCCAAATTATAATCTGTTTGGAGGAATCACCAAAAAGTGAAAAGGGAGGGTGTTGAATATAATTTTAAGGATGTTCAGATATTATCTTAATAACTATAAGACCATTCAGAAGTGAATGGTATATTTTGTAATACACACACACAAAATATTTATAGCATTCCAGCAAAAAGACTGCTTCCGATATCCCACTCGTCTATGACAGCACAGTGTTTAAAGAGGGAGCGCTTGCTTGTAAACACAGATTATGACATTGATGTCCCAGCAAAACCTGGAAATCTGTCCCACTACACAAGGGGTCCCCAACCATTGTGGGCCTATCAGAATTGGAGAGGCCACTGTGGGTGCTGCCACAACATGCCTAATCAGTGGATTCCCACTTGTACATCTACCTGTACGTTCTATGGATCTGAGGCTGTGTCTTATTCAGCAAAAACATTTGTTTCGCCTCTATTGGACACAGTGATGTCCCTTTAATAACTGATTGCCTCATTCAGCAGCTAATTGCCAGAAGGACAATGCAGTTAATCTTTCTTTCAAACATTAATACAAGCTTTGAGTGGAAAGGAGAAATGAGATCTAACTGAAGATTCTAGAAAAACTTAACTTAAAAGTTAAGAAAGAGAACTGAGAAAACTTGCACAGTGTTTCCAATAGCACCTTTTTTGGTGGAGTCACTTCAGACAGAACTGAATGTATAAGTCAAAGGATAAATACTCCTTGGTATCTGTAACTGAGTCAGCTGGCCCCCAGGAACTGCTCAGTCATGGTCTGGAGGTGAAAAGCAATCACTTTTTCATCGACCTTTTTGGATGACTAAGCTAGGTAGGAGAATGTTAGGAGACTGGTGGAAATGGGATCACAATAGGAGGTCCCATTGCCAACCAGCACATGTTCATTCGAAGGCTGAATGAAAAGCTGAACAAAAAGTGAATACAATGCATGCAGAGCTGTCTTTATCAGGAGCGTGGCTCTTTCAGGCTTCTGAGCATGATCATGTTGTTGTTGTTGTTGTTTCTATACTGCCCTTAGCTGAAGCTCTCTGGGACTTAAAACAAAGTATAAAAACAATAAAATGCAATAGATAAAAACATTAACAAGAATTAAAAATTAATGCAAAAGAGCATAAAGGCATATAAAAGAATAAAAAGACCAAGCCAAGATTAAAAGAAAGGCACCTGGCTAATTGTTTCAGGCCCCTGAATGATCAGGGAAGTCTTTGAAGCCTCTGCAAAGAGGGCTGTCTTATTCTGATGGCAAAAAGTGGCAAATTTGGTGCTAGGTAGGCTGCAACAGGGTGGTTATTCCAAAGATGGGGTCCCACCACAGAAAAGGGAGGGGGCCTCTCGAGGGGTTAACACTCGGAGGAAGGTCCAGAGGTTGAGAGCAGTGTCTGGTGAGATGGGGCTGGGAGAGCACTCCAACAAGTATTGTGGGCTCAGAGCTCTAGTCCAACCTTAAATTGAACACTGTAAAGTCAAAATGCAGGACAGGTAATCCTTCTTGCACTTGTGTGCTAAATAACTTTAGACCAAGACATGGGGCAGGTGGGGATTTTAGAGGACCATGTATGACCTTAGTTGTGAAACACAATCAAATGTTTCTTTTCTCTACTTCTTCCATCCTACATTTCACAAATCTATTTATCCTCCTGATATATTGCTGTGGAAGGTTTTTTCCAGGAAGTGGGGGGCTCTTTGCCAAATTTCCTTCTCAAAGGACCACACTGCAGACATGCAATACTGCATTTTAAGCTTACTTGATTCACAGCACTTCCATGACTAGCACAACCATATGAAAGAAACCATGGATTCAGCATGAGCGGTGGTGTTAGTTGGAGGCAACACCTACAGCTTCTGGCCTGAAGAGAAGGATGCTTCCGTCTGAGAGCATTCAGCAGAAGGTTTTGTTGAAGTCTTAGGCTAGTTTGGAAGACGGCCTGAGCCTGTCTGTGGCAAGCAAAATGCCAACTCTGAAGCGACAAGAGGAACGGAAGAGCTCTTTCTTCCCTGCAGCTAAATACAAAATAAGAATGGAAAATGCTGTGGTGCGCAGCCTTGGCTCTGGAGAGTATGCCATGCCCAGGCCAACCCAGGTGTGAGATGGGGCTTCTTTGTCATTGCCTCATCATCTACCACTAGTAGATGGAGACTCTTGTGCTGCAGGAGCCCTGCACATGGGCCTCAAGTTCAGCCCCAACTACTCCGAAGCCTATTCCCATGCTTTTGTAAAACACACTGATGGGGATCGACCACTGACCATTCCGTTTATCTTCCCGTCTTCTACTTAGTAGCTCAGCTGGAAGAAGATACTCACACAGAAGAGGATTTAGAAGTTGCTGGTGTCACTGCCCCACTTTCGACCATCTCAATGGCTTGTCTTATTTCCAGTTTCTTATATACAGAAAAAATGCTGGATTTTGGCTGATGCTTTTTTAATAGGATCTTCTTTAGGACTCTGTTGTCAAACTTCTTAAATCTGGTAATAGCAATAAACAAAATGTTGCTGTTGTTTTTAAAGAAAAGTCAGATATCGGTTCTGCATTAATTACTAGATAAATTTGAATCATCACCTCTTAAGGGACTGATAACAATAGCAAAGATGTGTGATTTATGAGCCACCATTTGCATTAAAGCAACAAGACAAAGACAAGCATAAATTTGGAACTTAACAATACAGGATTACTAGGGATATTTTGATATTCTAAATAAAGTATTTGAAGTAAACACATCAGATGTGTTCTCATATCTGCACAATATATTATACATATTATATTACTATTGTTGTTGTTAGTCGCGAAGTCGTGTCCGACCCATCGCGACCCCATGGACAACATTCATCCAGGCCTTCCTGTCCTCCACCATCCCCCAGAGTACACTTAAACTCACACCAACTGCCTCGGTGACTCCATCTAGCCACATCATTCTCTGCCGTCCCCTTCTTCTTTTGCCATCTATTGTTCCCAACATTAGGCTCTTCTCCAGGGACTCCTTCCTTCTCATTAGGTGGCCAAAATATTTCAGTTTCATCTTCAGTATCTGGCCTTCTAAAGAGAAGTCTGGGTTGATCTCCTCTAGCACTGACCAGTTTGATCGCCTTGCGGTCCAAGGGACTCGCAGGAGTCTCCTCCAGCACCACAATTCAAAGGCCTCAATCCTTTTGCGCTCAGCCTTCCTTATGGTCCAGCTTTCACAGCCATACATTGCAACTGGGAAAACCATAGCCTTGACTATACGCACTTTTGTTGGCAGGGTGATGTCTCTGCTTTTTAGTAGATGTGTGTCTAGATGTGCCATAGCTTTCCTCCCCAGGAGCAAGCGTCTTTTAATTTCTTGGCTGCAGTCCCTGTCTACAGTGATCTTGGAGCCCAGGAAAATAAAATCTGTCACTACCTCCGTTTCTTCCCTACCTATTTGCCAGGAAGTGAGAGGACCAGATGCCATGATCTTAGTTTTCTTAATGTTGAGTTTCAAGCCAACTTTTGCACTCTCCTCCTTCACCTGCATCAAGAGGCTCTTTAGTTCCTCTTCACTTTCTGCCATTAGAGTGGTATCATCTGCATATCTGAGGTTGTTGATATTTCTCCCAGGAATCTTAATTCCAACTAGTGATTCATCTAGCCCCGCCTTTCTCATGATGTGCTCTGCATATAAGTTAAATAGGCAGGGCGACAGTATACAGCCTTGCCAAACTCCTTTCTCAATTTTGAACCAATCAGTGATTCAGTGTCCAGTTCTCACTGTTGCTTCTTGACCTGCATATAGGTTTCTCAAGAGACAAATAAGATGGTCTGGTATTCTCATCTCTTTAAGAACTTGCCACAATTTGTCGTGATCCACACAATCAAAGGATTTAGCATAGCCAATGAAGCAGAAGTAGATGTTTTTCTGGAACTCCCTAGCTTTCTCCATGATCCAGCATATGTTGGCAATTTGATCTCTAGTTCCTCTCCCTCTTCGAAATCCTGCCTGTACTTCAGGTAGTTCGCGGTCTACATACTGCTGGAGCCTAGCTTGTAGGATTTTGAACATAACATTGCTAGCGTGTGAAATGAGTGCAATGGTGCGGTACTTTGAACATTCTTTGGCATTGCCCTTCTTTGGGATCGGAATGTAAACTGACCTTTTCCAATCCTGTGGCCACTGTTGAGTTTTCCACATTTGCTGGCATATTGAGTGTAGCACTTTCACTGCATTGTCTTTTAAGATTTTGAATAGCTCAGATGGAATACTGTCACCTCCACTAGCTTTGTTACTGCTCAGACTTCCTAAGGCCCATTTGACTTCACATTCCAGGATGTCCGGTTTGAGGTCAGTGACCACCCCATTGTGTTTATAAGGGACGTTAAGCTCTTTCTTGTATAGTTCTTCTGTGTAATCTTGCCACCTCTTCTTAATCTCTTCTGCCTCTGTTAGGTACCTGCCATTTTGGTCCTTTATCATGCCCATCTTTGCATGAAATTTTCCCTTCATATCTCCAATTTTCTTGAAGAGATCTCTGGTCCTCCCTAGTCTATTGTTTTCTTCTATTTCTTTGCACCGTTCATTTAAGAAGGCATTCTTATCTCTTCTAGCTATTCTCTGGAATTCTGCATTCAATTGGGTGCATTTTTCTCTTTCTCCCTTGCCTTTCGCTTCCCTTCTTTCCTCAGCTATGTGTAAAGCTTCCTCAGACAGCCATTTTGCTTTATTGCATTTCTTTTTCTTTGGGATGGCTTTAGTTGCTACCTCTTGTACAATGTTGCAAACCTTCGTTCATAGTTCTTCAGGCACTCTGTCTATCAGATCTAATTCTTTAAATCTATTTGTCACCTCTACTGTATATTCATCAGGGATATGATTTAGGTCATACCTGAGTGGCCTAGTGCTTTTCCCTACTTTCTTCAATTTAAGCCTAAATTGTGCAACAAGAAGTTCATGATCTGAGCCACAGTCAGCTCCTGGTCTAGTTTTTACTGACTGTATAGAGCTTCTCCATCTTTGGCTGCAGAGCACATAGTCAATTTCTGTGTTGACCATCTGGTGATGTCCATGTGTAGAGTCATCTCTTGGGTTGTTGGAAAAGAGTGTTTGCTATGACCATCGTATTCTCTTGACAAAATTCTACTAGCCTGTGCCTTGCTTCATTTTGTACTCCAAGGCCAAACCTCCCTGTTATTCCGGTTATCTTTTGGTTTCCTACTTTAGCATTCCAATCCCCCTGATGATAAGGACATCATTTTTTGGAGTTAATTCTAGAAGGTGTTGTAGGCCTTCACAGAACTGGTCAACTTCAGCCTCTTCAGCATCAGTGGTTGGGGCATAGACTTGGACTATTGTGATGTTGAATGCTTTGCCTTGGATTCAAACTGAGATCAGTCTGACATTTTGGAGGTTGCATCCCAGTACTGCTTTTCCTACTCTTTTATTGACTATGAAGGCTACTCCATTTCTTCTGAGGGATTCTTGCCTGCAGTAGAAAACCTGATGGTCATCTGAATTAAATTCACCCATTCCTGTCCATTTTAGTTCACTGATTCCTAAGATGTCTATGTTCGGTCTTGTCGTCTCTTGTTTGACCACATCCAGCTTGTCTTGATTCATGGATCTTACGTTCCAGGTTCCTATGGAGTATAGATCTTTGCAGCATCAGACTCTCCTTTCACCTCCAGATACATCCGCAACTGAGTGTCCTTTCAGCTTTGACCCAGTCGCTTCATTCTTTCTGGCACTACTAGTACTAGCCCTCCGCTCTTCCCCAGTAGCATATTGGGCACCTTCCGACCTGAGGGGCTCATCTTCCGGCATCATATCTTTTTGCCTTTTGGTACTGTCCATGGGGTTTTCATGGCAAAGATACTAGAGCAGGTTGCCATTTCCTTCTCCAGTGGATCATGCTTTGTCAGAGCTCTCTGCTATGACCTGTCCGTCTTGGGTGGCCCCGCATGGCAGAATTCATAGCTTCATTGAGCTATGCAAGCCCCTTCATCACGACAAGGCAGTGATCCATGAAGAGGTTATATTACTATAGTATAGTATATATAATATACTATATGAATAGCAAGTATCAGCCATTATTTTTGCCTACTGTAACTTTAGATCAACGTTACTCTTAGCTGACACAGTTAACTATTACAATGAAATATACAATTGACAAGGTAGAGGGATGTGGAAGAAAAAGAAAAGGACAGTAAACAATGATGTTGAAGGTTCAGTATGAGGGACAGGACAGAAAGAGGGAAATGGCAAGAGGTTTAAGAGGAAACCTTTAAGATGTGTCTGGTGGAGGTTTGGTACTGATTGGGAATCATTTGTATAAAAAGTGGGGAAATGAAAACAGGTAGGAGTGGGTGATGTCCCATATAGTCCACAGGGTGGATGGCATCAGTAGACAGGGACCTTAATGTTATTTGGGCCCTGTCCAAAACAAGCACTGTCTGAAGCTCTTCCAAATGATGGTTCAACTGAGGAGCCAAACCCACCCAGTCCATGTCACTTGCCCCTCCATTGGTGGTGCACAAAACCACCTTGACAGAAGTGCTGGGTGCAGAAACGGTCCTCCACATACTGCAGCACCTTGGCTGAAGCAGCTGTGCCCAGGGCATTTTCTCCCTTTGGGGAGGACACAGGGCTGGTGTGCTGCTGGTCCTCCTAACTGCATTACAGGAATCCCTTGTATTATCTCCCATCAGGGATTCTGCTTAGTATGTCTCTCCATACTGGACCTGAATGAGCAGATCTCGAAGGAGGGGGCTCAACTAGGCTTTCCAGTGGGATGAGCTAACCTGGTAGCCAAATTGGCTTGCAGACTGGAGGTTTTCCACTCCTGGTACAAAGAGCAGTGAAGGGAAAGTAGGAGATCTGGATGGGAAAGCAACTCTAGGAACCATCTGCCTAAAATAAATAAATGCTGTACAGGAACAGTGCATGTGTGAAGGCAAGAAACTGTGATTATTATCACACCTTCTTTCCAACCATACTTCCACATATTGACTTGAACTTCTGAATGGACTCTGCTCATGCTCAACTTGTATCTGTGTAGATGCTTTCCATGTAGTCCAGAACTGTACAGAATGCAAGCTGCAGATCATATGGCAAGAGCCCGCCCTTTCATGCAAGTCATACAAATATAGGTTCGGCACTACAGAAGACTGGATGACCCCATAAGCATTGGAGATATCCAGCCCAATTTCAGCTGTCACTTGTGCCCTGGTTGTGTGAATACAACCTGAATAAGCAAGGCAACCAACCCTTATTAAATCATAGTGAGAAAAAGAAGATAATAATTGCAGGATGCATTCAGCTTGGACCATTTTACTACAGGTGTATAACAATCTTAGCTATATCGAACTGACTCATTCTTACTTTTCTCTCAGTTGATAATGACTCCAGTGTCCACATATATCTTCAATGCCAGCTTTTAGATGATCCATGAGCTACAGGCACACAAAATTCAAGACAGGTGTGAGCTTCATATTAAAGTACTTCTTGCAACACTAGTGCAGGCACTTAGCTAAAATGTACTTTATTTTCAAATTGCTTTAAAAATTAAAAAAAAATTTTTTCAAAAGATAAAGTAACTGAGCAGTAATACCAATACTTCTTGGTTGGTCATCCCGACTGTCACAAGCAGAGACTAATTTAATTGTTACAGGGGGTGGTAAAAGGGTACCACTTCCTGTGGCTTGCAATTTGAATTAGTATCATGGTTGGGCACCCAGCACAACACTAGAAGGCTCAGGGCACTGCCAGTCTTTTGCAGCAAATCAGACTGTCGGACTGCCCCCTTCATCAAAGGTTCACTGTCATCAGTGGGACTTGCTGACAAGTTAAGCATGTGTGCCATTCCAGCTTTACAGTAATAAATATACATTGATTCTATGATCTGCTCCATAGGCCAGGTCAAGTATACAGTCAGGATTATGCCACCAGATCTGACAAATAGATTTATCTAGGGTGGGTACAGTATTTGTACTGAGAACTTGTGTAAAGAGTGGGGCAAGTTATCCTTGGCCAGGTGCTTGCTGCTCAAAGCACAATCACTATAGCCTCACCTGAGACATCCTTCCCCTGTCCCCTTCTATCAGCAATAAGAGCTGCCTGCAAACACAGCACCAAAACAGGCAGCACCAAAACTGCACCACAAGAAAATCCCTGCAGTGCTGGATCACACCCAATAAATGGGGAAGGACATCGCTGCTTTTGGCTACTGCCCAAACAAGTGCTAGTTGCACAGGGTTGTTTTCCTCTAGCACACCACCAGTGCTTGCACTGGGGGCACTAATGCCTGCTTCCACCAGCAGTAGAGCAAAAACAACACCACCAACAAAAAGTGACACAGCATATGCTTTGCATGCAATGAAAGCAATAAATCCCATCTTCAAACCCAGGCTTGCTGGGTTAAAATGGGATCGAGTATCTTGTGATACAGAAACATGCTGCAATTCCAGGGCCAGCACTAGCCATAGCAGGCAATGGGTTGCAGCCAGACTTAGCCAAAGAGCAGGCTTTACATTCGCCATAATTGACTAAGTCAGCCTCCATTGCAGTAAGAACTTGGATTCAATAGTCCAATACAGTAAGGAGCTAGATATTCAAAACATAGCACAAGGTTCCTTCTCCTGATGCTATATGATCCATATTAACATTCAACTTACTCGCACATGAATTTCCTCATTGATGGACTCTTTTTTATTAGTCTTCTTAACATCTAGGTACTTTACAAGTGGCCTAATGGTGATTCCCTTCATGTGGAACAAAGAGCAAAAAAAAAGTTGCAGAGCTAATTCAGGCACTCAATTATGATACAGAATGTTTTTATACTGGTTTAACTTACACAACCTGATTGGACAATACCATTCAGCCTATCCCATGGAGGGGCTCAGTGAATATACTGCTATCTCCTTGACCACTTGATCTGCCATCTCTGCCTTCCTCCCCCATCTCTGCCACCCTGGCAAGTATGCCCCAGGCATATCAAATCCAAATTCTTGCAAATTATGCTCTAGAAATATCTGGTGACTGACCATGTGATTTTGGCAGGATGGCCTCTTTTGCATTCCTCCAAAAGTGGGACTGTATCTTCCAAAAAGAAGAGCAAAGGATACAACAGCATTTGTTTGTGGAGATTTACATGTTTTGATGCAGATTTAGAAACAGTTGGTCAACTGTAAATAGAAATATAATCTGCCTCAAAAGGACCGTGACCAGGTGATTGGTGTGTGAGCTCAGTCTCCTCTCCAGGTTCAAAGGCCTGGCCCATCCTACCTTCTTGTAGTTCTTTATCTTTATAGCTGACTGGGACAGATCAGGCCATCAAATAGAGGACCCCTTCAAAGAGAGAACCATTCTCTTTCAATGCTCCCTATTTGAGGACCAACTGCCCTAGATGTTGGCCAACGTGTGCTGGATTTACATGCCCTGGAAATACTGGAATGTCCCACTCTTGCAGGAACAGTGAACATCAGGCAGGCAGGTCGGTGTGAAGGATGTTGGGCTACCAGTCCTTGAATTCCATGTGACGGACTTGATTGCAGGACAGAAGCAGCCAAACCAGTCAGTGCAAACCACCCTATGGCTCATATGTCCCATTCATCAACTCTGCTTACCTGAATGAAAACGGTAAAATAGGTCACCACAATAATCGATGTAATAAACATTTTCTTTCTAGGATAGAGAGCAAGAGGAAGCAAAAAGGCAAGGGAGAAACTGCTGGCCCCTCGCAGGCCACTGTAGATTATAATCAGCTGGTCTTTAAGAGTAAATCTGTAGGTCCGGAACTTGTTGCTGATGCTGAAGAGCAAAAACACACCTAGGAAACAAATAGAAACTTACTAGTAACAAGAATCACTAACCAAATGAAATTATTTGTATAAGCAGGTTGCTACTGGTGCTTCATTGCAGGTTAGCCTAATCTGACATCATGAAGCCTGTTACATGATGGTAGAGCAACTGAACCATTGGGATTTGGTTGGAGACCCTGGCTTAAAACATCACTACTATATGGTCATTAAACTCAGCCTGACCCCCAAGGAGTTTGAGAATGATAGCCTTGTGAGATAGCTAGTGAGCTTCGGAAAAGTGGGAGTCTTCTCAAAAGGCTGGATATACATCACATTGCATGTACACCCATGACCAACCCCTGAAATCATCGCATAAAATAATACACTACTTGGACAAGCGTCCAAAGGTGTATTATTGGTGTTGGTTGGCAAGACCCTCTTCATTTTTTCTTCCAGTGTCTATAAAATGGACCTTTCATGTATGAATACCTTAAAGGGTTATCTATCCCAAACAATCCACTGGATTAAGAGAGATTACAGATCCAAAAGGCCAGTTATGAAGCTTATATTCAATTCTATCAAATAAAGATGAGCTTCGTATGAAAAAATGATCACCAGGTTTGAAAAGTACTATTTTTTCACATTCTTTTAAGCAAAGTGGGACACATGCATGCTTCCCCTTGGGGAAACAGGATTATACACATTCCTGAAATCCATAGCAATTTGATGAGCAAAATAAAGCTAGAAATCCACTTTTTCCAGATTTCAATTTTAGTTTTTCTTATACTTGTCCTTTCTCCTACTCCAAAGAAGCCAAGGTGGCTGACATAGGCCTTCTGCTCGCCATTTTAGCCTCACTAAGCGTAGCCCTGTAAACAGGTTAGGCTGAGATTCCAGTGGTGACCCCAACACTACCCAGGCTGTCCCATGGGGGAGTGTGATGCTCATGTAGAGGGTGGGATCTATTCCAAGCTTCAAATGAACTCACGGAGCTTAGAAGGCAGCAGAGCACAGCCAATCTCATCTCCCTTAACACATTCAGCTAAGTGCTAGGGCTGTTGTCACCATGAACAAGGATATATGTAAGTAACAACACATGGCCATCATCTGACCTTGCATTTGAAATGATGGAGAATGGCAGCATTCTGACTTAATTATACCATTTGTATTTCATGCATTTCAAGCTAACAGGATTGGATTTCTGATTATTAAAAATATATTGTAAAAGAGCATGTGCTTAAGATTTATTGATGAAAGTAAGTGTAATGTAGCTAGTAACTTTCTTCTTTACAGAATGACTTAACTTGAACTGTACATTGCCACACACTACGCTTTCAGCACCATTCCTAGTTTAAAAGGCATTAGCAACAATTTAAATTTTAAGTGGATCTGTGGGATTCCTGTTTTTGCTTTCAGTGAGTCCATCTTAAATTGCCTGTTTCATTCTGCGCAGATTTGACACTCATTCCCAAACCAATTCCCATCTATCTCTGTCCCTTTCTCTTAACTCCAGAAACAGATCCTGCAAAATTATGGCAGCTAGATATACTTTATACAATCTTAATCCAGATTGACATTCATATATGGCTCCTCCCACCCTACCAAATTGTCTTAAAAGTTCTCTTTCCTGTCTGTTTATTTTGTTTGTCTTTTTGATTTATTGCTGTTATTCATGTTGTGTCTTGCACTTGGTCACAGTGCCAAGCTTTTTCTGCAATACGTAATGGAATCAGTTTGCATTTATAGTGTAATTTCTTTAATATATCCAGAGTTTTTCTCTATAGCTAATGTTTATTACAGTGGAGTACAGTTATGCATGAAATGAGCTGGACAAGGGAACACACCTGTGGAAGTCCTTGATAAACAGGTTAAACCAGTCAGTTCTGAACTTCCTCATCTCTCTCTGTACTTCACAGTGTTTTTAATCAGGGTGAGCAGACCTTGGGCTCGATGAATCTGCATTATTATTAATATTAACATCAGAGCCTTGCAATCCACCAGCCCGGAGTCACATATAAAATGGTGTCCCAGGGTCTTCGGTATCTACAGAATTAAGGGCCGTGGCACATCAGAGCACATGGTGAGCTCAGAACCAGCCTTGACCTCAGCCCGTTCCCACTTCTGGATTTCCCCTCAAGCTTTCTTGATATCACCCATTCAAAGCACAGAGCCTTTTTGTTTCCCTTGGACAGAGGGAGAGCCCTGTGCAGTGGCTGGACCTGGAGCAAATTCCAGGGCTGCACAGCCAAGTTTCCTCAACTGACCTTGGGGATGATGGCTGGTGATGGCACCAGCAATAGAACCACGTCAGTACCAAGGCTGGCAAGATGGGGCAGCCCTAGTGGGTGCAGGATCTGATCCTAGTGGGTGCAGGATCTTTACCTTATTTGTATTTTTAAAAAGTGGGGTTTGTGGCTTGGTATGTATGTGGTTACAGGTGCTCAACTTATTATTTTGACTTTAAATACATACTCACTCTTTCTATAACAAAACAGTCCTTGCTCCCAAATATGTTTAGCATCAGGGCAGCAGAAGCAAATGACATTTTATTCTTGTAGCCATGATCTGACTCGAAAATGTGACACACATGCTGAGAATATTTCTTTTCCTGATCAAGACTAACAAACTATTTTGCTTGGGGGAGGGAAACCAAATGTTATACTGCATGTGGCACATGGCTGCGTAAAGGAGGGTTCTATAAGTCCACCCAGTCCGTGGTCTAAAATTGCCAAGCTGCATCACTGTTCTTTTTTAAACAATAGATGGTTAGAAACTCTTGCCAATCTAGATTTCACTTGGCAGGAAATTTCCCTCTGCCTTCTGCCCATCCCTGCAAAACACATCGTCATCTGGTTTGGCTTGATTCAAACTGTTGTTTCTTACTTATTGCCCTCCAAAGTGTGCAGAAGACCAGTGTGAAGCCAATGAAAGCCCAGTTCCACTCATGGTTTCGGCTGACAGTGGACACACCCATGAACACAAATATCAGGGTCTCGCTGATGCTGCTCAGCATTTTCATGAAGTATTTTGTCGTTACGTAGGAATTTGGGGAAATGTTTGCTTCCACGTATTTTTTCATAGTCACCGCACATGCTGTAATCCTGTTGATTTGCAAAAAGAGGATGCATGAGCTGCTGTAAACAGTGATATAAAGAGATTTGTGAGATTTCCCCAGTAAAAGTCTGTCTCCTGCATTCATCTTGAGGCTTATTTTGTGATTCTTTGACCACCATGTTGGGAATTCTTAGTGCATAATGATGTTTGAATGAACATTAAACTGAATGAAATCATGCAGCCATCTAGCTCAGGAGTGTCTTCATGAGCCATCCCCTACCAGTTGACCTCCAGATACACTGGAACACAATTTCCATCCTGCTCAGCAAACATGGTCCCTGGGGAAGACTCAGATTGGAATCCAAGATATTTGGTGGGCACCAACTGTTCTATCTTGACTGGCAGCCTTTCTCCAACATTTCAGGTGGACTTTCTCAGCTATGTACCTAGAGATGCTGGACTTGAGTCTGCATCTTTGACATGCACACCATGTATTCAACTTCTGAGCTGTTGCCCTTTCACTGTGTTTTTCAGAAAAACAAGTAATCCCAGGCGTCAGCTGCCAATTTGGATTGCATTAAAGCTAGCAGCAATCAGCTTAAAGAGAGCCACAGTTCCCATGTGGCTGAAGAATGTAACAAACATCAGGTCTGTGTGGTTGCCACTCATGAAGCCATTATTCGTTGGAGCCTTTGAAGCAGCACTTCAAATAGCTATGCCAACATACTTCATAATGCTTAAGTACGGGGCAGAGTCCTTTGTAAGGAAGAATTAGTGAGCAGGAGTGTCTACCATTTGCCACACCAGCCAATTCTCCATTGAAAGAACCTCTTTCCAACATAATGTTAGCCATAATTTTTCTGGCTAGGTTGTAGGGTCAAGAGGAACAGCCTGAGGAGATGGGCTAGGGAAATGTAAGGGCAGGAAGATAAAAAAGACTGACACACATCTGGTGAGTCTCTCTGCTAATGTCCACCTCTGCACTCACATTAATTAGCAGATACATCTTTGATGGTGTCACTCCCTCTAAAAAGGAATGCAAGTTGTGAACACCAGCAGGACTGCAGCCAAAAGAAGGCCACTGAGAAAATACGTAACATCTCCACCTCTTGCGGGAGAAAAGCTAAATAAGCTAAGAGGGCAATTCTCCCCCACATAAACACCAGGCCAATGAAAATATTGGATATGCTCCATAGCCATGGAATATTATGCATCACTTGGACAAGAAGAGTGGAAAACGGGAGGAAAATTAAATGCCCTGCTTGAGCACCGTTCAGCTTGTAGCACTTTGGAGGAGAACTTGGCAGGCTGGCCAAAACCCTGAATAGACACACTACCGCTAGACGGTAAGGGAGAAACACCACAATGCTTGTTAAAGGCTGTAACTATTCACTTAGCCATTCATGATGTTTGTGTGCTGCCCCATAACATAAAATTCTTTGGATGACTTACAATAAACAAACAGGAAACAATTGAAATGCAAATTAAATGCAAAAACAAACAACACACCTCACAGCAACACCAGAGTGAAACTACAGATTTTAGAACTGGGAGAGTCAGACCGACTACTTGAATTATTTAAAAGGCCTAGATGAACAGAAAGTTCTTCAGCTGGTGCTATGATAGACCAAGATCTCTGAGGAGACTTGGGTGCCCCTTGTGAAGTGTAATTCTGCATGCTGCTCTTTAAAAATGTTATTTATAGTAATACATTGACCTGGTTTACACACAACTTTAATTGGTGGTTTGTTTCACCCGTGGTTTGTTGCTCTACCCAGGTGACTTATAGGTGATCAAACAAACTATAATTCACTTTCTCAGTCCTCAGGTTATTCTCCATCTCCTTTGCATATTCCTTCCCAGTATCCCAAAATACTTTGTGGTACTCTTGCCTTTTTCCCCTTTTTACTTCATTATTCCTGCCTCTGCAGCCTGGCATAACAGTCCATAAACAACCCATGATCATAATTCTGGATTCACACGAAACAACATCCCATGGTGAACAACCCAAAGTTCACAACCCATCAACAAGCCATGGGGCTCTCTTTCTTGATTGTTCACAGTTAATGAACTAGCAGAGTTTGCACAACAGAAACTGTGGGCTATGGTTAGCTGGGATATGGGTGGATGAAGTGCTGAAGTAATTGCTTCACTAACTTCAGATGAATTGTGGATTGATCTTCAAAATCACTTCAGTCTGAAAATATGCCTACCAAAGAGATGGTGTGCACTGGCCCAAACACCAGCAGTATTTTGTAAGTGTACTAGTTTCATTATTAAACTGGTGGTGGGTGAATATTAAAAGAATGCAGTTTGTTTAATTGCTTGTTGCATAATATCTTAAGTGTTATTATTACTCAAGCATTGCTGCTTATCACCCCAGAGCCTAGCGACAGGAAATGATACATCTATTGCATGGCAGGGTGGTGTGCAAAAAGACCTGCTTTTATACTTACGCCAAAATGCCAGAAATGTAAAGTGTTTCTGCAGCTAAGTAAGACAAATAGCTGAACATGAAGACAAGGAGAGGTTCGATGGAAGAAATGTTCTGTGTGAATCGAGTCATTAAGGCAGCCACAAACCCAAAGGCAATGCCAAAGAGCAGCCCTCCAAAGCTCACTACAAAAAAGCGAGCAAATCCAGCCAGGATGTCCACAGCTTCAATATCTTCATAGCGATGCATCTGGGTGAAGTCAATCAATATGTTGTATAAGACCTGAAGTAAGGAAAGAAAGGAATGTCTTGTAGCTATGCTATGAAAGATATACATTCTGGTATACATTTACCAAAGAAGGATTTTACTGGGCAATTTCCATGTCTCAGTCATGGCATTTTATCTGAGTTCTAGATCATGTCATTTTTTGTCATTTTTTTTTAAGCCTCATGTTTTCCCACTGTTTCTTCCATCTTTTTTGTTGCTAGAAAGAAGAAAGAAAGAAAGAAAAAAGTTGGAACAGCTGCACAATGCCTCTGGAGCCTTCCATCTGGAACCATTCTTAGATGGGCCATGTAACAAAACTCCACATTGGTTGACCTCTTAAATGGAAAAGAAGAATGTTAAGATGGAAATGAATGTTCAGGATGAATTTTCACTTCCTATCCCAATTCGATTTGGTTTTAAAATGTAATGACCTGATATAGGATATAATTAAAATGGTAAATAAGGTGAGCTGCAACTGAATTATAGACAGTTCCTGAGTTACAAGCATCCAAGTTACAAACAACCTGTACTTACGAACAAGCTGCCTTACAGTCTATTAATTTTTTAAAAAATTACTGCAGAAAATCATTATCACCATAAAGAGAGAGAAAGCAAAGTGGAAGAGAAGGAGGCTTGCAAAGCAGATCTTTCTGTCCCACCCATCTGGAGACGGACGTTTTTCTGGCATTTCCTTGCTGCAAAGATGAGACAGTGATGAAGTTGGGCAGGTAGGCTAAAAATATTCACAGTTTTTCTGCTTTCATTGGGGGGGTGACCCTCCCCCACGAATGTGGAGGGCTGACTATGCATGGTCCAACTTACATGCAAATTTGACTTAAAGATTAATTTCCATTTTCTCAGGAGCAGAACTCATTCATAACCTGGGGGCCACAAAGGATTAATGGAGCATGAGATCTAAAGCACATGCTACCTTAAGGATGTAACCAGCAGGTATGTCTTTTCTCTCTCTTTTTACAGGAGCCCCAGTCATAGCATCATGGATGAAGGAATGTTCATCTCCTCTGGTCCAAATCTGTTTGAGGGGGGGTGCCTTCAGTTTCATTAACAAAATAATAGTCCATTACAACAAATGATAAATAATATACTACATACTTGCATATTCATATGCCAGATTATTATCTATTGCAAACTGCTTGTTTCACTAGTTCATATGTGTTAGAGTAGATAAAGAGAGCTAATTGATCATTATCTTCTTCCTACTGGGGGAGTTCAGATGATGCCTCCCCATGCATTCAAGGATTTTGCCTTGCAACATTAGAATACTCTGATCATCATTAGAGATCAACTTTAGAGATACTGATCATCTTGATCACCTAAGTCCTTTGTCTACAGAAATATCACGACAACACCACTAATAGGGATAAATACAGCTTTAAGAAAATCAGTTCTGCCAAAGACTGAGAAAATGGAAGAGTAGGGAATGGATCAATGTTGTCTGTGCCCAAAAGCTGCACCACAAATATTATTTTTCTAGTTAGGTATAAACTGGTGCTTCTAGTCAGTTCTCTAGTCAGTTTCAGTGGTGGCACCTTAGTTTATGCAAAACCCTCCAACCTGTTGTGGTTTACTGATAGGTTGCCTAACTGTACAAAAAGGGAGCAGAGCACTGGTGTGCAGTGTTACTCTGTGAAGGAACGGAATGTGCTGTTTGAGTGTACTTTACAATCAGTTGAATTTTCCCCTTTATTTAAAAAAGGGGAGTGTTCCATATTTAATTTGTGTGAAATATGGGATAAGCATCTGATCCCTGTGGGGCAGCATTACCAATACAGACTTTTACCAGAACATTTACTGGCTGATCCAGACTAGCCACTTATTGCTCATTTGTGAAATGGGGCTGATGTCTTCCAAAGAGCGCAGATGCCATTTGAGGCATATTCTTGCATTACACGCTTGGTCGTCCACAGCTTGCCTCACTGCCTGTCATCTGGGGACAACCGCTTGCATGAGCCTGACCTGCTGCTTTCAGATTGCAACATACTGGCTTGAGTTCTTTTTTGTTGGCTTTGCCATTATCCACTGGATCACATTGCTGGACTGCCCCTTTACTCACCCACTTATACAAAGGCGATCTACATTTTCATGGTGAAATGTCAGGGGATGCACAGGGATGTTCCATGTCATTTTTGCAATGGAAGGGGGTTTTGTTTTGCATTGGGTGAAGACACTTCCTTTACCTCCCTAATGAGCCAGTAGTAGACAAGGTGTTGGAAGGGGAAGCTCACTAGGCCATTCAGCATCTTTCAGCCTAATCTACTCATAGATGACAAGTGCTAAAAGAAAAGAGAATGACCCAGTGTGCTGTTCTGACCTCCTTGGAGGAGAAGGAGGAAGAGGACAATACATGAAGCAGAGAGGCCCAGTTTCTTCAAAACTGGCAGCATACTTACCACAGTTATCCCATCATTTAGCAAAGATTCTCCAAAGATCATCATATAAAGCTGTTCATTAACAGACATCTCTTCAAAGACAGCCAAGACAGCCGTAGGATCCACAGCTGAAATCATGCTGCCAAACAGGAGGTTGTCCAGTAAGGTAACATCCTTGAGGCCAAAAGCTGCGATCTGGCAAATCCCATAAAGTGAGAACCCAATGCCGAAGGCGTTTATGAGGGACCCCATTGAGGACCACCAAAGAATGGATCCAATGTTTTCAAAAAAGGGGCGGGTGGGCATAAAGTAGCCTCCTTCCAGGATAATGGGTGGGAGTAGGTACAAGAAGTAGATGCTTGTGGTCATTACTGGAGGGGATTTGTGATCTGTGCCAAAAATAATTGCACCAACCAAGAGACCCATGGCAATGTGGAGGCAGCTTTCTGGCATGAAGTGCGGCAGTCGATGATACAGATGGAAGCCTTGAAGGGAGACAGAAGAATAAATGCCTGGTGGAGATTATACTTTAATCTTAGATGGAGACCCCATTTGTTCCTCATCTCAGATATTAGCTAGGCATCATTATGCAAACTCAGAGGTCCCATAATCCTGCTAATAATAGAAAAAAATCATGTTGGTTTTCACCTGTGACAGGTTATAGTTTCCACATATAACCCTCCTTGCTTTCATACCATTTCTTCTGCTGGGCTCACAAGGACACAGCGCTGGCACTCTTTTTAACAGGGACAGTGGTGTCATCTGCCACCCATCCCAGGGTGTCCCTTACAGGAGTTTGGAGGTGAGGAGAAAGGAGGAATGTATTTGGCCAGCAACAGTTTATCCTTCCCTGTTCTATTGCAAAGTATTTTGGGTGGTATGGCCTGGAATAGGCAGTAATGATGTATTAACATTACAAACAGACCAGGTCTTGGTGCAGATAAAACTAAAGTGGCTTGTTGAAATGAATCAATACACTTGCCATAGGTCCACCACCATTGGCCTAACTCTACCCTGGTTCCCTAACCCTAATATAGGGGTAAAATACAATAGAAGACAGGACAATTTTGAAAAAGCCTTCCTTGAGTACTTTTCTCTGACTAACTCAACATTTCTGACTATTCCACACACATTCCAACCATCAGAATCATGCCAGGACACCACGTTTTCCTAACCCTAACCCTACCCTGATGCACACTCCTAACCCTAATATAGGGGTAAGGGTCCATTGAAAACACGGCGATTTTGAAAAGGCCTTCCTTAAGTAGCTTTTTCTGCACAGCTCAACATTTCTGCCAATTGTAAACACATTCCAACCATCAAAATCATGCTAGGACACCTTGTTTTTCTAAGCCTAATCCAGTGGTGGCAAACCTTTTAGAAACCAAGTTCCCAAACTGCATCCAAAAACTCACTTATCGCAAAGTGCCAACACTACAGTAAAACCTGAAAACTGAGGTTTTCATTTAGCAAAAACAACTCACAACCAGCGCAAGCAAATATACGTGTGTGTGTGTGTGTGTGTGTGTGTGTGTGTGTATCCTTGGCAGAGCACTGACCAGCCATGCAAAAGCTCAGATGAGTCACGCCTAATGAGTCGTGGCTCGTGACCTGGTGCCACTCCTCCTTTCCGAGCATGCGCATGGACCCTATGCGCTCTGTTGTCCAATGCTCGGCTGCTGGGGCGATGCTGGGGCAACTCGTGTGCCAACAGAGAGGGCTCTGCATGCCCGCTGTTGCATGTGTGCCATAGGTTCTCCACCACTGGGCTATGAGATGCGCACATAACAGAACTGCTTCTTGGTAGGAGCTAAAGAAATAGATAGGCTTCCACCAAACCAGAACTAAATATTGCATAATTCTGGAACTAGTGGAAGCTACAGAAACCAACATTGTGAAGAAAGATTGTTCTGAAAAAAAATGTTTTCAAATGTATGTTTAAGGGATACTTTTCAAAAATATTAAATCTAAACTTTAAAAAATACAGTTGTTGTTGTTAGTCGCAAAGTCATGTCCAACCCATCGTGACCCCTTGGACAACGTTCCTCCAGGACTTCCTGTCCTCCACCATCCCCCAGAGTCCACTTAAGCTCACACCAACTGCTTCAGTGACTCCATCTAGCCACCTCATTCTCTGCCGTCCCCTTCTTCTTTTGCCATCTATTGTTCTCAGCATTTAAAAATACAGAAATAATGGTAAATGCCAGCTAACAAAATTCAATAGTTTCACACATTTGTCCTCCTCCAACAGTATCAATAGCTGGGAATGTAGGGAAAAAATAAAACTAGAATATGGATTTATTTTTCCCAAGTACATCACACCAGGAAATCCAACTCTCTCACACACACTGATTTAGGTCCCATTCAAGCTAGATCTCATTCCATGACTAATGACCAAATCTTGGATGCCACTGAAACAATTTCAGCTCATTAAGGTTTCAGTCCTGCCCATTCTTCAACTCCACTGAATTTATGGAATTTATATCAGAGTAAACATGACTGCTATACATTGTATAACCTCCTGCTCTTCTCCCATTTTCATATCAACCCAGAGGAATAAGGAATTTCAGCTGCAGTGCACTAAGGAATTTTACCAAGAGTTTCAGGCAATCTTTTTCACAAATTAATGTGTTTTTTCTGAGAAACAAGTGTGATCTTTTTATTCAATATACCAAATAGATGATCCTGGATATTTCTGGATTAGCAGCTTCCTTACAGAGCAATCCTACAGCTGTGTTTTCAGAAGTAAATTCCACCGACTTCACTGGAGTGAGCTCCCAAGTAAGAAAGTATGGGGTTGCAGTCTTAACGACAAAGCAATTTTAAGACCATTTACACTTTATTGCTATTTCACATTAAACTGTTTGACTTCTAGTGACAAGTGTATTTAATTTAATTGATCAAGACCCATAAATTAAGTAGAACATACTTCGGCTGCAATAGGAGTACACCTAACTAAACTCAGTGGGAACTACTACTAAACAGACCTCTGCCTGGCATTGCACTGCTAGTACTCTAAAATATTTGACTTTCTTGTTTGCTTGCTGAGAAACAGGATTTTGCACTTTTAATGTAACATTGCCTCTGTACATGTATATAGTGTGAGGGAGCTAGTAAGATGTTTTTACTTACCTATTTTTGCAAGGGAAGCCAAGAGTATCCAAAGAGTAACTTCATAAGGGATTTGCACATATTCATAATCCACTGTAAACACATGCAGGTGCTGATCCCGGCCCGATTCCGTGATATCCACTGGGTCATCATTCGACAAAGAGCTGGTGTTCCTATGTGGTAGTTTCACATATAGAGTAGCCATACAAACCTCCAAGGTTGACAGCACAAGCACCCAGCTGAGAATATTTGGATGCACAAGAAGCTGAATGCCCATGCTGCAGAGAAAAGCTTCTTCTTCTCTTCTTATGAAATGCAGATTTCCATCCTTAGTGTCCCAGCTATAGGCCTAGTTTGTGCCTGGCAGCTTTGGTAGTCCCAAACACATCTTCTTCAGGTGCTGATGGAAAACTAAGCTTTACCTGGAAATACAGGTATGGAGAGAGGTTCTCCCCAGACTTTTGCAATTCACAGTTAGCAAAACGTCCAACTGTCATCTCTCACCACGTTTAAGAGGAAAGAAGAAGTAAACATTTATGCTCAGTGCTACTACATTTAGACTGAGAAGGCCATGAAATTATACAATGGACTCACTCAGTTGCTAGAAATCCGAAGACAGAGTCAATTGCGCAGGTCTTCCTCCTATAATTGTTTGTTCCAGGTTTGCCTAAGCTCAATCATTTCTGACTTTGTAGCAAACTAGTTCACATAGGTTTGTGTGTCAATTATTATGTTAGAGACATCTAGTGGATGCTCACAAGAACAGCATCCAGACTTCAATTCCCCAAAAAATGTGCAGATGGTTGGGAATAACATTTTTATTTATGTTCTCTTATTGTACATGCAACAAGGTGAAATTTCAAGTACTCATGGCAACCCAGTTCTCTTTAATAAATTGCCACATACAAGTCCACATCCCCATGTCTTCACTGACCTGTGTTCATCTGTGATCATTTTGGTTTTACTACACAACCATTTAATACAAGTGTCACAGAAATTAGAACTCACTGTCATGTGTTGCATTGTGATCATCATTCAAAAACCACCCTGTCACTTTCACATCTCTGAAAGACTCCTGGACAAATTTTATGTGTTTGAATGCAAACTCTTACTTGTTTGTTTGATAGATTTAAACCCCATCATTCTACCAAACAGTGAAAGTCAAGGGGGCTTACAAAAACAACTATTTTATTTTATTTTATTTTATTTTATTTTAAAGTTTTTATATGCCGCCCCAATATTAAAAGTCTCTGGATGGCTTACAAAACAAACAAACAAAAACAAATATAACTTAAATATATTTAAACAATAACATACCTTAAAATAAATAAAAACATAGCAATCAGAGAATAAAAACAGCACCCAATCCATAGAATCACTTCCAGTACAAAACCATCACTTACAGTCTTTGCTTGAAATGAGAAGGATAGCGCGTGCAAACACGTGCACACACACACACACACACACACACGTACAGAGAGAGAGAGAGAGAGAGAGAGAGAGAGAGAGTTAAGGGGGAAAAGAGCCCTCTGGAAGTAGCTTCTGCAGTAGCCTCTGGAACAGATTTCCATGGTATGCACTAGGTTTGCAAGTTTTCAGAAAAGGTTACAATATTTGCCAACCGCTCCCCTTTCATATATCCTGGTTTGTAATTATCTCTGCTCTGTGTTTCCATGAACTCTGCCACCCATCAGGGATGGGTGATGTGATAGGAAAACTGTGTCAGAGTATTCATTAAAATAAAGAGAAGTGAGCAGAGCAGGAAGGGAGTGCTAAAAGGCCTTTAAACATGTGATATGCTTTATGGAGAGCATCCTAACAAGTTACATTGATTTTCCGTGAGGAAAAGGTATAACAAAATGTGTTGGGCATGTCAGAGAGATCTCTCCAAAGTCTTCCATATCCCTGTTGGAGGCTTCAGCTCATGAAGATATTTGACCAATAGGTTTGCGTGTTTGTTGAAAGCGTTACTCAGGCATCCTGGTTCTTCCCATCATGATGTCAGGGTGCACTGTGGTGCGCAGCAGTTAAGCCCTGTTCAGAATTTGTGGTACTACAAAATGTATAATTGTAGTACATGGATATACAACTTTCTGGTCCTCGTTTCTGGTCCTTCCCACTCCTCCTGTCCACTCTCTTGCTGAAGAAACCTGACATCCTGCATTCTGTTAGCTTGAATTATCAGTAAAAAAGAGATAACACTTACTCTAAGGACCTGTCATAAAAATCACATCTTTAGGTCTTCAGAAGTAGGCAGGTGCCTTCAAGCACTGGTTCCTGGGGGCATTCCAGAAATGGATCACAGAGCCCATCCCTAGACCATTTTTTCCATGGGTCTTGGTGACATCTTTGGTTTTAGTGGAGCTAACTAATCTTGTACAGAATTTAAGTATGCCCACTGGGCTAGCTAGCCCGATACTCAAATTGTCAATAGCTCTAAAGCATCAGGAATAGGGCTTTTCTAATCCTACAATTCCATAACCTTTTACAGCAATGGAGAAGCTTTTCTGTGCAAAAACCACAGCTCATCCTCTGAAAAATTTTCTGTGGAGGAAAGTTGTTTCCCAGATGATGCTCCATTCCATGAAGCCTTTCTTGTTCAGGCATTTATTGTGCACTCCTGAGTCTTCCTGCCCAGTATTTTGTGGGTGCTTTGCATGACATCATCATCCTCTCCTGTTCTTTGCAACAGTTTTTGGTTTCGTTTTAATCACGGGAAGATTGGTACTGACAAAATGGAACCCTAGTGTAGTTGTGCAATGCTGCTATACTGCAGTGCCACCTAAAAGTTATGTGAGAGAACACATAGAAACTTAAAGTAGGGAAGGAAAAGGAGTCTGGGGCAGAGGGTACTGGTCTTCTTTCAATCTCACAAAGAATCCAGACGCAGAAGCCTTAGTAAAGTGGCAGATTTCACAGAAAAACACATTGTCCAGTTTAAGTGGGGGAATGAAAACCATTTGTCCTGAGCTCCTCTTTTATGTTTCACTGGCATGTAATACTGCAGTTTTTTCCAAAATTGCTTATTAGCAGTGGGAGAACTAGCTGTTTTCCAAGTAATCCTGGGCAAAATCCTGAGAGCTTTCTTCACCTTTTGAGGTAACGATTCTGGCTTCTGGAAAGACTCAAACTGAATCAGGATGAGTTTTATAGTCTTATCTTCCAGCACAGCATTGACTGCTGCTTCAAGTTCAAAGAGGGCCTGTTCGTTTTTGACATAGCTTGTGCTTAAGATCATTATTGCTCGCCGGCTCTTTTTGATGGCATTTACAATATCATCAGTATATGCTGAGAAAAGAAATCATATTTATTAACAGATTTTTACTTATTCTATTAAAGTTCAAGCCACATCTACTTCTAGACATAGATACCAGGACATTATATAGGGAAGAAAATAAAAATATCCATATAAGATTAATATAATAATAACCAAGTAATATTTGAGAGATAATGAACCGCCCCCAAAAAAGAATTCCAGCTGTTCTGCTATTTAACCCCCCCCCCGCCCCCACTCTATGAATTCTTATACCTTGGCATTTAGTGATTAACATTATTAGAAACTTGGTTAATGGACTCTGATTGAGGACAGTTATTCTGGGCTTCTGAAATGTGCAATGTCCACCTGCTATGTGTAAAGTTTGTCTTTGATTACTTCAAGACAGGAAGATCCACCCTCTAACAGTCTGAGGACCAAATTCAGTTTGGTGCTGGGGCACTGAACGAAAACAGACAGGGTCTAAAGATTGAAAGTGCAATTAGGACAGGCGCCTTGACTTTTTAGAATGCAAAAAAAAAAAAAAAAAAAAGCATTCCTGTTCCAAAGCCAGGAACATGCCAAATGATTGCCAGTTAGGGGGAAAGGGCATGTGGCTGGATTTGACCGACAGCCTGGTTTTATGACAGCAGCTCTGTGGATGTCACTAGCTGATAGATATAAGAAAGAATAGTGGATCTTTCCACAATATGGAAACTGGCACCATATGTACAGGGGCACCCATGAAGTATGAATCCTGGTATCTTTTTTCATCAGTTTCTTACCAGCTAAGATACTGGATAAAAAATATCTGACTTTGGTTGGCAATTGAAAACAGCCAGCCAAGCAGAAATTCATTGCCCTTGCCTTTGTGCACAGCAGAATTTTTGGTTGAAAAAAGGATCAGAGACTTCTTAGCTATCTGTGATTGTGGTTCTCAGTTGTTTGATGCATACTGATGCAAGAATCTGACAGCCCAACTAAGCTTGTGATGACTCATTTTGATAGCAATCAGAACTCTTGCGGCACAGTGGTCAGAGCGTCAGATTAAGACTCAGGAAATCCAGATTCTAGTCACCCCACAGCCAGGCCTCATTGATCCTCCACCTCATATATCTCTTAGGGTTGTTGTGAGGCAAGGAGGAGATTGTTTATGCTGCCTTACAAGAGGAAAAATGACAGGGTATACATGTCACCACCCCACACCATGACCAGATGGTTCCCACACTTTTGTGGGTGGATGGATGGATGGATGGAACAGAAGGGATTCTGAGGGGGTTGCAAAAAATTTAAACACAAACAGTAGTCCATGATTCCCCACATATGCACACATGTGGATGCACACACACACACACCTGTAGATGTTGTCTATATAAATGCCTACACTGCCTGAAAGCAGAACAACCCATGGTAGTTTGAATGTCTCAAAAGTCACTGCCTTATAATAGACTTGGATCTAGAATTGATCAAACCCTCTACTGAATCTGAGCAGATAGCCAACTTGTCTGGATCATTAAGACAAGCCACCTGAGAGGGGTTGCTTAAAAAAAAAAAGCCTATGGAGTCTGCAATACTCCACATAGCATTTGTGTAAGGTTTTGTAGTTTCCATTGTGGGGTATTATTGACTCCTTATGCATTCAATAATACCCCAGATACAAATAAACCATGATGATGATGTGCTAATTGTGTCATGTTTAAAATCTTCAACTGAGCATTGAATGCTATGGCATTCATGGAATATATTTGACCATGATATTAAGCACTACCATCTAGTTTGCGATCAACAGAAGGCTAAACACATTTTTGTTTTTTACAGTAGCTATTATTATATTAAGTTCTTACCTCCTCCTGGAAGGATGTCCCGTTCAGAGAGACATAGCTTATATCCATATTCATTTTCTAAAACCTGAGGGAGAAACTCTATGGCAAACTGTTCCTCATTATATAGTTCTTGATTTGCTTCAGGGGTTTCTGGTTTTGCATAGGACACGAATGCATCAAATTCCTTGCAATCTAAAAATAAAAGAATTTAAAAACATACAAGGATGAAGCAAGCATCCTTTAAATAAAGAAGAGCCAAAAGAGGAAAAGGAGGAGAAATTATTCTTCCAAAATAGTGGAACATAACTGTGGGCGAGGGATGTCTTTTGTGAATTCTCTTCTCTGCTCTCAACCACATTAGAGGAAAGAAACTATAGAGCTGGGAAGGAGAGATGCTAAAAGCACCTTAGAAAATAGTTTTGAACTTTAAAGGCAAATTAAATTTCCCCACCCTGTCACTGCATTCCAGTGGACTGGGATCTCTGTTCAGACCTCACTGTAAGCAATTAACCTAACAGCCACATCTGCATAAGCTACACTAGAAGACCAGTGTAGTGTCAGGTTAGAAGGCTGAATGAACCGGAGCTGTCCTTCCAGTCTCTGGTAGACACATAAGTCCTGGTAGAAAAGCTTAACTTTAGAGAAGCTTGCTGCGCTCACATTCCAGTTGAGAGTCAAAAACACATGCCTATATTAGCTCCACATTCTTACCACCAACAATTAAGACTTAGAAGAGAAGCTTCTGGGCAAATTTGGGAATGACATATTGGGATCTCAGAGAGGTTGGAGTTGGCCCATAGGCCTAAACTGAGACCGCTGCTATAAACCTTCTAAGTGACCATGGGCTAGTGACTCAATAAATATAGACTGCCTTACAGGAAAATATGTATGAAAACAGAATGGAAATGAGGGCTTGAGCTGATTGGACATAAGTAAAGAATCTGTCCCACACTACATGTGGTATGACAGCTAAGCTCCCAAAGTGGCAACATCTTGTCTTTAGTTTGTCTTTCTTCCTAACTGGGGAGGTGCTACAAGGAAGGCATAGGAATGGGGAGGACAAATAAGTGTCCCAGAAAACTTCCTTGTTCATCTACTGAATGCAAGAAAATCAGATCATGGGAAGAGCCCTGCTAGACCCTCTAATCCAGCATTCTGTTTACACAGTGGCCAACCAGCTCTCCAAGCTGCCAGGTGGCCATGGCGGAGGACTGCTCCCAACCATGTGGCTTGCATGGGCTACAACCCAAGTAGGGTTGAAGCAAAATAGGCCATGGTGGTTCCTCCCCATTGCATTGCCAATGAATTACAGGTGTGACTAGCAGGGCAGACCTCATATATTGAGACAAGAGGAAAATAGGGTAGCATCAAACAGCCATTCCCACCATCAATGTGCTCCTGGCCCTTTTGGTCAAGCATCCAGTGTTGCCTTGGGACAGTCAGGATCTTTCCTGGCCTGGAGCAGGTCCACCTGCCCAAGGCTGAATATGGGCAGGGTCCTTTTCACCTGCCCTGACAGTGCAGCCAATGCTTGCACCGGGGTGTGCTTAACCTGCACAGCCCCATAACATCCTAGCCATTCCTGGAATGTATGAGGATGTTTACAAGCCACCCTCATGCCATACTGGATACTCATTGCCATAGTCCTAGACTGTCCTGATGTCCTCTGGGTCTGCAAGGGTAACTTGCAGGGTAACCCAGTATATTCTAGGCCATGGAGTCTTCTTGGTCTTGGCCACCTAGTCCCAGTCTTAGAGATAACAACAGGGATGCATCAATGTTGAGATTTGTTTGGCCCCGGGAAAACTGCCAGCCAAGTCTATTTCTCCACCTCAGTTTTGAATGTACAAGGATGGAAATAGAAATGTGTGTTGCCGAAAGGACAGGGAGGGATTCCACACTTATTAGCATAAAATATGCTGTCTTGTATATAAACAGATTTTCTCTGAGCTCTTCAATGTGTATTTCATCCCCACTCTCTCCTTCCTGGTGCTTTTTCATCTTCAGCTTAACTTTGCCTCATTTTCTCTGGAGATCTTACCTTCAGTGCTCTTCACATGCCCTATTGGCCTGAAACATCTTGACTGATTTTTACCTGAACTACCTGAATCATGTTACCAAAGCATTGCTCAAGGTATCACTAGTATAACCCAACTGTCACCTTTTCTTTGCAGCAAAGATACTTGTGCATTTTACAATTATTCAATGAGAGGGGCTTTTAATGAATTTATCCTCCGGTTGTGTAAAGTTTTTCCTAATGCATTTTTCCCATGCAGCCATGGGCGAACTTTCAACCCATGCAAGACCTTTTCTACAAAACAGATCAGAAAAGTATCTTCTCATTCTTTTGAGAAAATTAAATTTTTATCCTTAGCAACACCTAGAGATTACTTACAAATAAAAAAATTAAATACACTCTTAAAGTATAATTTTAATTAAAGCCATAATCCTAAACATACTTACTTGGTAGTGAATCTTATTTAAATCAGTGTTAGTTACTTCTAAGTAAATATATTCAGGACATGTGAAATGTTTGCCAAGGTTTAACATATAAGAGAAAACTCAAATCTGCTGTGTCACCCAACAAACTTTTTTCTCTGATTTCTCTGCCTCCAGGGTTTTCTTGGGGAGATAGTGCTGGGTGAGGAATATAATCTACATTTTTTACAATTCTAGTCATCAACTGCAGAAGTGGAAGGGTATTCCAATACAATTCTCAGAGGGGCCAGAGAAAAGGGTTTTTAAAAAATGAGGAATTGGGCATTAAATGTAAAGGAAGAGATGGCAGTGATGCAGCCAGTGTTGGACCTTGGGTTTCAAGTCCATGGCCCCATAATCCAGTCCCCTAAATAGCCACTAATTAGCACCCCCCCAAATAGGAGAGTGGCAGGCAAATTCCATTTTATTTCTGCTGCCATGATGGTGATATGGTTTAGGGGGGACTAAAATACAAAACGGCAGCTGTTTGGTGCAATTATTATTCAGCTGTTATTCTAACACAGCAAAACTGTAGAAGCAGCTGTAATGGAATGGCATTTGGGGTGGGAGAAAAAGGGAAGTGTTGGTTGCATACTTCTCAAATGCAATTCACATGGGATGCCCCATAAGATCTTTTGCCTAAGTGCAATGTTTTGTTTAAAAAAACAACTTTTGAAAAAGTTTCAAGATTTGTTATATCATCCCATACCACCCTCATGGCCCGCTGTGACAACTTTGCCCAGCACTTTAAGGAGAAAATCGCTCAGTTTCATCACGAGCTGGACTCCATAAGAGATTCATATCTTCTAGGGGAGGTGCCAATGACTCCGTCTGGTCAGATATTATTGGATGAATTTCAGTTATTGTGGCCTGATGTGGACAAGGTGCTTGGACAAGTACGTCCCACCACCTGTTTACTTGACCCTTGCCCGTAGTGGCTGCTGACCAAAGCCAAACACGGGATTGGTGCCTGGATCCTGGAGGTCATTAATGGCCGGGTGCCTGCTCCTTTAAAGGAGGTAGTAGTCAGGCCGGTCCTAAAGAAGGCGTCCCTGGATCCAGAGATGGCCACCAATTATAGACCGGTGGCCAGCATCCCGTTTTTGGGCAAGGTGTTGGAATGGGTGGTGGCAGGACAACTCCAAGCACTCTTGGATGAAACTGACTATCTGGACCCATTTCAGTCCAGCTTCAGACCTGTGTATGGTACTGAATCTGCCTTGGTCACCCTGTATGATGACCTGTGCAGGGAAAGAGACAGGGGGAGTGCGTCCCTGTTGGTCCTCCTGGAACTCTCAGCAGTTTTCGATACCATCGACCATGGTATCCTTCTGGATAGGCTAGCGGGACTGGGAGTAGGAGGCACTGCTTGGCAGTTGTTCCACTCCTACCTTGACAGCCAATTCCAGAAAGTGGTGCTGGGGGACTTTGGCTCTGTGCCATGGCACTTATACCATGGAGTACAGCAGGGGTCCATTTTCTCCCCCTTGCTATTCAACATCTACATGAAACCGCTGGGAGAGGTCATCAGGAGGTTTGGACTGCAGAATCATCAGTATGCTGATGACACCCAGCTCTACTTCTCTTTTTCAGCCAATCCAGGTGAGGTAGTGGCGGCACTGAACTGGTACCAGGCCTAAGTAATGGGCTGGATGAGGGCCAATAAACTGAAGCTCAATCCAAACAAGACAGAGGTCCTGTTGGTGGGTGGTTTGAGCCCTTGGGTAGGTGACTCAAACCTTGCCCTGAATGGGGTTGCATTCCCTCTAAAAGACAAGGTCCGCAGCTTGGGAGTGCTCCTTGACCCAGAGCTGTCCATGGAAGCTCAGGTGACTACAGTGGTGAGGAGCACTTTCCTTCAGCTTCAGTTAATCCATCAGCTGCGTCCCTACCTGGAGGACAATTGCCTAGCGACAGTGATACATGCACCGGTTACTTCCCAGTTGGATTTCTGTAATGCGCTCTACATGGGGCTGCCCTTGAAGACAGTCCGGATACTTCAGATGGTGCAAAATAGAGCAGCCAAGTTGCTGTCAGGGACTGGGCGTTATTCCCATATAACCCCAGTCCTCTATCAGCTTCACTGGCTTCCCATTGAAGTCCGGGCTCAATTCAAGGTGCTGGTTATTACCTATAAGCCCTTAATGGCTTGGGACCTGGATACCTAAAGGAACGCCTTCTTCTGTATTTGTCCTCCCGCCCCCTGAGATTGGCAGCAGAGGCCCTCCTCTGGGAACCCTCCGTGAAAGATATTAGGAGACAGAGTACCCGGAGGAGGGCCTTCTTTGTGGTGGTGCCCCGTCTATGGAATGTGCTCCCCAGAGAGGTCCTCCTGGCGCCATCATTATATGTTTTTTGGTGCCAGGTTAAGACCTTTTTATTTAAAAGGTTAAGACCTTTTTTCTTTCTTTCTTTCTTTCTTTCTTTCTTTTTTTGCTTCCTTACAGTTAATAGTTTAAGTTACTGTGCGACTCAGCTGTGTGAATTTTGGTTCACAAAGCTTTGTTTCATCTTTATCCACTGGCATGCTTGCTGCTTCAGGATCCAAATGAAAGAAGCACTTGCCTCCTGGCAAGACACCATCTCATCTGGTGGCCATCAGCACCTCTTGCAGCTGAGAATGCCAGAAATTATACATATGGAACCTCTGGCCTGGGGGCCATATTTGCCCCATCTGGGGCCGCAGTCCAGCCACCTGGGTTCCCCCACTGAAA